AAAGAGGATGAGAAAGATCTTAGATATTGCAAGGTAGTAATCTCCAAAATACTGTTAATTAAACAAAAGTAAGGTGGACAACCATGTGTAAAGTAGCATATACCAGTGCGTGTATATTTGTGCATTTGCTTACAAATGAAAGTATAAGCTAAAAGCTGCCCAAAATGGTTGGAAAGTTGGGATAGACAGGACAGGGATAGTGAATAAATTTATTTTATTCTGTGTTATTTTTTAAATTTTAGAATCCTATAGATTTTAAATCTAATTTTAAAACAAGCAGAATTAAACAGATGATCATTATTGTGCATTGACTTGTGGCTGAACCACATGGAGGAATAATTTTAAGTGATTTTAAAACAGAGCAATTTTCAACTGTACATCCCGAGGGGGATATATTTAAAGGTTAAAAATAACCACAATGAAATCTCAAGCAGTTTTCAGTGATTATATTTTTAGTAATAGTATATGTATTATAATTTTGAGAGCATATATTTTAAGCAGGGAAGAAATTATATTAATATAGTAGGATGAAAAAAAGAAGAAAATTCAAATGCAAATTAAAATTCAAGACAATTAATATAAAATTTCTATATGACTAAATTTGAACTGAACATACTAATAGGAATCTGTGATATGATTTTTCCTTAACAAAAAGGGTCTAGAAACCATGACCAGCTCAGGAGCAATGAAAACCCTTCCTGCCCAGATTGTGGTCTCTAAACAGACTTCCTTTTTGAAAGGACCAAGGCCTGTTGGAGGAATGGCTGGTTGTGAGTCAGGGTGCAGGGAACACACAAGATAAGGTTAGAATATCTAGTCCCACCAAATGAAAGACGTTTAAAAAGACCACTGGGATCATGACACAGATTATTGGAAAAACTTGAAGAGGTTTCTGTTTATCCAAGCAGGGATGGGGTTATAGAAAGAGACAGATATTATTACCCTATCTGCATGTATGATCACACTACTGGAGTGATTCTGAACCATGTGTAGTCAGAGAAATGAGAAGTTGTGCTCCATTTGTATACAATATGTCAAAATGCATTGTACTGTAAAATAAGTAAATAAATTTGTAAAAAAAATGGAACATTTTGATCATTAATAACAATAACAATAGTAGATTGAAACACATCAACTATGTTAAAATCCATGTATTCCATGTACCTCAGGTAGAGCATTAATCTCCAGGATATATAAAGAACTCAAAAACTTAACACCAACAAAAACAAATAACTCAATCAATAAATGGGCTAAGGAACTGAACAGACATTTCTCAGAAGAAGAAATACAATGAGTCTACAAGTAAATATTAAAAAGTTCAACATCTCTAGCAATCATAGAAATGGAAATTAAAACTACGTTGAGATTCCATTTCATTCCATTCAGATGGCAATTATCAAGAACACAAACAACAATATATGTTAGAGAGGATGCGGGGAAAAAGGTACATACATACATTGCTGGTAGGACTGCAAATTGGTGCAATCATTCTGGAAAGCAGTATGGACATTCCTCGGAAAACTTGAAATGGAACCACCATTTGATCTAGTTATCCAACTCCTAGGTTTATACCCAATGGACTCAAAATGAGCACACTACAGTGACACAGCCACATCAAAGTTTATACAGCTCAATTCACAATAGCTAAAATGTGAAATCAACTTAAGTGTCCTTCAATAGATGAATGGATAAAGAAATTTTGGTGTGTATACATAATGAAATAATAGTCATAAAGAAGAATGAAATTATGGCATTTGTGGGTAAATGGATGGAACTGGGGAATATTATGCTAAGCAAAATAAGCCAATCCTAAAGAACCAAAGGCCAAATGTTTTCTCTGATATGTGGGGGTAGCTAGGGAAGAATAGAGGTACTTTGGATTAGACAGAGGGGAGTGAAGGGAGGGAAGAGGATATGGGGGTAGGAAGGACAGAGAATGAATTGAACATCATTATCCTATATGCATATGTGATTACATGATCTGTGTAAATATAATTTACAACAAGAAGAATGAAAGTTATACTCTAATTACCTCTACTGTCATGTATAACTAACTAGAACAAATTAAAAAAAAAAGAGAAAAGAAATCCATGTGTTAGTAAAGATATATTTTAAAGAACCAATCTCCTGGGTAAACATGTAGAGGACACAAAGGAAACAGCTCTTTATTGTGAAAATAAAGGAAATCAATTGTCCTGACTTTTTGTTTGTTTGTTTATTTATTTATTTATTTATTTATTTATTTATTTATTTATGGTTCTTATTTATAACATACCATGGAGTACTCAAATAGTTGAGCCGGAAAACGACTTACTTAAGGAAAGTACCTGCTAATAAATAGAATTTGCATAATAGGATAGAATTTGCATACCACTAGTTTGTGATCCCTAATAAATACTGGATTAAACAGCCACCATCAATAGGCACTGAGGTCATTAGGCAGAAAAGGGAACTCTAAAAGGAGGAACTTCTCAAAATTTAGTGTGCATGTGAATTACTTGGGGAAACTATTAAATTCTGATTTACTAGGTCTGGGGTTGAGCCTGAGATTCTGCATTTGTAACAAATTACCAACTCAGCTGTGGAGGACCATTCTAAGGAAGAGAAAAGCAGCCCTGGACATTAGCAGGCCAGGCCTTGTGTTCCTCTTGGTCAGAAACAATTCCACAGAACAACATCAGACGAGGTGACTCTGTGACCATGTTGAACCAAATCAAAACAAGCCTACTCCATAACCATGTCTAAACAAAAATTGAGAACTTTGTCCAAAGCACAGAACTGACCAAACAGGCCCCTCTCTGAAGGGACTTCTTTGCCTATTACTGCTGTAGGCTTAGTCTACCCTTTCCTGTTCTAGGTAGATTAATTGCCCTTAATGTCACTTCCTGACATTACCTAAACCTGATTCCTTAAATCTTCCCTAAAATCACAAATGTAAACCCAGGTCTGCTCATAAGTCCTTTCTAAGTCCCTCTGAACCATCCCATGGTCCCAAGGAGGAGCAAGTGCCCACTCTCCCGGCAGCAGGCACTGAATACTGTGTTTGTTCCCTCCAAGTGTGTTCTGTGGTCTTAGCTGGAGCAAAAATCCAACTGTGTGATGATCAGGCTGTGGCCTCCTGATGTGATGCAATAGAAGGCTCACAGTGTCACCTTTAAAGTAAACTTGGCAAAAAACAGAGCTGGACCTGCATCTGATTAAGCCTCAGCTCTAAACCCCAGTTTATAAGAAATATGAGGCAACTAGGAATATCTGAAAGAACTATTTTCAGTTCAACCACAAGGCAAATTATTTTTTAAAAAACCAATATGTGACATTAAAAAATGGAGAGTAATTTAAAGACCCAAGAAAATTCAACAGTGAGAGCAATCAGTCGTAGGGAGTGTTCTTTGTTTGGATCCTGATTTGTACAAACTGTACATAAACTATCAATGATAATAAGACAACTGGGGATACCTGAACAGCGAATAGATCTCTGATACTCACAAATCATGAATGTGAATATTTTTAGGTTTTATAATGGCAGCATCCATTTTTTC